ACGTCTGGACGGCGAGAGGCGGGCTTGCCACCTCCAGGTCCCCGCGCCCAGCCCCGGCCAAGAGGCGCCCGGCCTCCGACGGAGCGCACGGGGGGCAGACGCGGCACGGAAACCCCGGTGCTTGCGACCCTGCCGGCCAATTCCCACACTCAGGCCAGCCGGGTCAGCCATGGGTGGTGGCTGTGGGAGTCCCTGACTGCTAACCGCCCGTGGTTCACCTGGACAGACGCCCCTCCCACCAGCCTCTGTCCCCGTGGAGACAGAGGGACACATTCCACTGCCGAGCGAGAGGACGACCACAGGGCTCATGTGGGTAGGCCTGTGGCCAGACGGCTCCTGAGGGCAGGGAGTGTGGGACTCGCCACCCAACGGCCGGCAGGGGTGCAGAGCGTGCGGCCTGTCACCAGCTGGCTCCTGTGGCGCCAGGCTCGGGGCTCAGGGCCCGCCACCAGAGGGCTCACGTGGGCGCTGGGCTGGGACCGGCCACCAGACGACTCCCTGGGGTGCCGGGTGTGGGACCTGCCACTGGGTGGCCTCAGGCACAACACTGCTGGAGCCCGCCCCCACCCGCGACACGCGGAGTCCTGAGTGTGGAGAGCTCCACCTCTAATCGCTCGTGCCGCGGGACAACCCCTGGCGGATGTGCTTTCACCTGAGTGGGCTTCTGCTGTTTCAGCCCAGGCCTGCCCCGAGGGGTGTGTGCCCTGCGTCCCTCCGCCTGCCCTTCCTGCTGCCTTCATGGGGCCCTGCCTGGGTTCCTCTTGGGTCAGCCTCATGGCAAGAGGCCTCACCTACACCACATTCTGGAATGTCTCTGGCCCTGGAGTCTGACTCCATTTTTCTCACAGGTTCCCATGGACCAGCACGGAGGTCTGGAGGCTCGGGGCGGCTGGTGCCCACGGCGAGGAGAGGCCGGGATGACGGCTCCTTGGAACTTCCCCGCCGGCCCTTCTGCGTGGCCACCACATTCCCTCCCCACGTGTGCAGGGGTCCGGAACCCTAGTCACCACAGCCGTGACCCTGCCCGTATGCCTGGCAGGGGCCGTGTGCTCTTCCAGCAGCTTCTGGAATCCTCCCGGCGACCCGCAAAGGAAGGGTCGCCGTGTGCGGGCCTGGCCCCTGGGAGAATCCAGGGCACCGAGGGGACAGAGGCAGAGCTCTTGCCTTGCCAGGAAAACCTCCTGGGCCTCTCAACACGGACAATCGCGACGGATGGGGTAACAACGGCCAGAGCCTGATGCCTTTCTGCTTCCATCCAGTCAGGCGCAGAACACAGAACGATCACACTGCGGCAGCGGTGTGCAGACAGGCCCGAGGGCTGGTCTGCCGCCTCCTGCATGCTCTGCGTCCATCCCTCCTCAGCACGGATTCGTCTCTTGTTCTGTAATCGGTGCGTGTCCAAAGAGGGACACAGTGCTCTTGTCATCCCAGCCTGGGATCTGATGTCCTCGGGGGACAGCCAGCCCAAAGAGCCCTGTGGCCCTTGCAAAGCCACCGAGCTGTGTTCTGTGCTGTGAAGAACCGGCTGTGCGTCCGGGTCTTGCGGCTGCACCTCCCCACGTGGCACATGTGTGTGCGGGACACTGGCGCCCACGGGCACATGGCTGGGAGCTGGGGCAGGCGGAGGTCCCAGGTGAACTGTGACCCCCTGCACGTCTGTCTGGGCCCAGATGGAGCTGTCTGGGGTGGGGGACATCTGCAGAAAGCCCTGCTCTCCGCCCCTGGCAGGCCAGGGTGGCTCCCTCACTCCTGCCCTGCGAGGATGTTGGTGCCCGGGACGCAGCCCTTTCCTCCACCTGTGACCCAGGCGGGGCTGGCTCAGGCCATCGCTTCCTACCGTGGCGGGACAGCTTCTGACCCAGCCGAGCAGCCCCTGGTTTGGATTCAGGAACAGAGGTAAGAATTGGGGCTCCTGTGAACTCCTCAGCTGCCGGAGGGAAAGGGGGTCCCCAGGGCCAGGAGGCCGGAGGCTTCTGCATGTCCTCAGACCCCAGCAGTAGACCTGCCTCCTGCCCGCCTGACCCGTGAGCCCGCATGGCTCCCCTTGGGCATCGGCCGGTGAGAGGAGGGCCTGGCCAGGAGCGCGGAGCTCCTTTGCGGTTGAAGAGGGTCTCATGGGATATCAGTGACTGCGCTGGGGGACCCAGAGGCTCACAGTGACCTAGAGGCTGGCTCCCCATCCCAGGCCCGCTGCCGCTGCCAGGCCTCCTTGGGAGAGCAAGGACCCCGTGAGTTTATGTAGTGAGGGCCCCTGGCAAAGCTTTGTGCACCGTGATCGCGCCTGTTTTCGCCAAGACCCGGCACAGAACAGGCCATGGGCAGCAGGGAAGCGTTATTTCCACATGCAGTGTATAAGACCAGGGCCCAGAGAAGCCAGGTGACTTGCCTGAGGTCACACAGCGGCAGACCAGAAGCGGGCTCGGTCTCCTGCCGACACCCCTGAAGGGCCTCCCACCTCCCCACCTCCGTCCCCTGGTGGCTCTCACCCAGCCTGCACTGCCCTGGCGCACAGGGCCCACCCGCGGGTCCTACCTTCACCCCGATGTTCACCACCGTGGCATCCAAGAGGTCGAAGATGCGGGAGGTGATGCCATCACCCCGGTCCTTGGCGAGCCAGCAGTTGCAGCGCAACGTGTACTTGGTGCCCTGGGTGGGCACTGCCAGGCACAGCTCCTCCACCAGCCAGCAGCTCTCGGGGGAGGCCCCATCGTGGCCCAGCTGGGGGGGACACGGCCGTGAGGATCTGGGCACGGCCGGGAAGGGACCTGTCCCCGTTCAGTGTCCCTCCTGCTTCCTTCCAGCGTGCTGTGCCCTGCCAGCACTCGTGCCCCGTGAAGGTGAAGAGATTCCTCAGGTGTGATCACAGTCTAATCAGATGCACGAGCTGGCCAAAAGCTGTGACTAGGTGGGCCTGACCGAACCAGACGAGCTCTCCAAGACAGTGTCTAGATCTCAGAAGCGGAGACATCAGAGAGACACGAGGCAGAGGACACCTCCCCCGGCCTTGAACACACAGCTGGTTGGGTTTTGGAGAGGGTCCCGTGGCTGGGAGCAGCCGGCAACCCTAAGACCCGAAGGCCTCAGTCCGGCAACCCCAAGAAACGGATCCTGCCAACACCAGGGAGCCTGGAGGAGGACCCAGGCCTGGGACGAGCTCACAGCCCCAGTAGCGGCCTGACTCCAGCCAGTGAGAGCTGAGACGTGGACCCAGCGGGCTCGCCTGTGCTTCTGACCACAGGGGGGACACGTCTGTGCGCTTTGGGTCTGTGGCGCTTGGTTGCACAGCCACAGAAGATGAATCCACAGGGCATGCCTGAGTGGAGCGGACCCCGAGGGCCGTGACCCCCCAAGCCGCCCCGTGAGTGGACGGAGAGCCCTCTCCACCTCCTCCCACCCAGTACTGGCCCTTCCTTCCTGGGGGCGGTCGCTTCCACGGGGTCTCACTGCGTTGCCCAGGCTGGCGTGGAACTCCCGGCCCAAGCGACTCCCCCACCCAGCCTCCCTGAGTGCCAGATTCCAGGCACGCACCCTCGCCTGGGCCCGCACCTCTATTTTCTTGATGGTGCCCACGTCCAGGCCGCCGACGTAGAACTCCTCCACAGAGCCGCGGCTGAAGCCCCGCTTGCCACGGGGGTAGTCCAGCCAGATGCGCTTGGTGAGCTCATCCTCCTCCCCAATGAGCACCACGAAGGCGCGGCTGTCGGTGGCTGCGTCCTCATGCTTGCCGGTGGTGACGGACACGTAGTAGGGGATGACTGCAAGAGACGGAGGCCTGGCCGATGAGGGCAGCGGGCCAGACCCGTGGGGTTCTGGACTCGGAAACGGCCACTGGGGCATGACCGTGGTTCCTGCTCAGAGGCGAAGGGCCAGGCGTGGTGGCTCACGCCTGTCGCCCCAGCATCTTGGGAGGCCGAGGCGGGAGGATCGCTTGAGGCCAGGGTTCCAGACCAGCCTGGGCAACAGAGGGAGACCTCGTCGCCTCAAAAAATCAAAAAATAGCCAGGTGTGGTGGCTCACGCCTGTCATCCCAGCACTTTGAGAGGCCCAGGCCGGAGGATCCCTTTAGCCTGGGAGTTCAAATCAGCCAGAGCAACATAGCGAGATCTCATCTCTACAAAACAAAACAAAAAGGTTAGCTGGGTGTGGTGGTTCACGCCTGTCATCCCAGCACTTTGAGAGGCCGAGGTGGGAGGATCACATGAGGCCAGGAGTTCCAGACCAGCCTGGGCCACATAGCAAGACCTCATCTCTGCAAAATACCAAAAAAAATTAGCTGAGCATGGTGGTGCCACCTGTAATTTCAGAACTCTGGGAGGCTGAGGTGGGAGGATCACTTGAACCCAGGAGTTCCAGGCCAGCCTGAGTAATAGAGCGAGATACCGTCTCCACAAAAATAAAGAAACCAGACAGACTGGCAAGTCACCTGTGGCCGGTGTCTACTCTCCGAGCCATGAGGAAGCTGGTCACACCCAACACGGAGGACCCAAGAGCATTCTTGTCACGCGTCTGGGCGTGTCACGCACCAGTCCGCACTGGCCGAGCCGTGATCACTGGCTGGCCCGTGCTCGCTCTGTGGGGACGGACAAGAAGGACAGCTTCTCCCCAGGTCATACTTGGACACCCGAGACGCTTACCACTGTCAGCAAAGACGAGGCTAGCAGAAGCAAGGTCACGGAGGAAGGCAGAGCTCGGGGGAAAACAATGAGAGCGAGCCATCTGTGTGCCATGGTGAGTCCCAGGAGGCCTCGGTTTCCTAAACGCACCAGGCTGATCCGCATAAAAGCCCGCTCAGCCTGCCTCCCAAAGTCCTTGGTGTCTACTGGCATCCCTCCTCCTTACAGACGGGGGATACCATACCCAAGCAGAACTGCCGACGGGCTTCTGGGGAAGCCCTTGAAGGTCTGACTTGACTGGAAGGAGCACCCTTCTGCCCCATAGCCCTCCACTCATCTGGCTGGGATGGTGGCTGGGATGGCTGGTGCCCCAGCACCCATCTTGGAACCATGGGCAACCTCTGGGCGGAAGCCACTTACAAAGGTTGCCAGAGTGACCAGGTTGAAGGAACCGGGTCCCAGACTTCACTGGAGCTGCTGTGCCAGTTCTAGAGGCTGCCTTTGAACTTGTACATGAGAGAAAAGAGAAACGCCTTATCTGTTTAAGCCATTCTCTCCAGGTCTGGGTCACTGGCCGTTTCTAACTGGTGTGAGTTGGGAACCTTCTCCCAGTTCACCTTCCCCAGTAGCTTGGAAGACGTGGCCCTGCTGTTGTGGTTTCAGGTGACACGATCTGTATGCTGCATGGTTTCCAAGCCAATTCCTGGCTGGGATTTCCACCCCTGTGCACGACCGTGTCTCTCTTCACAAGGAGAGCGTTCACAGGTGGCCATCGTAGAGCCGGGAGGTGCCGTGTAAGCAGAGCCCACCTGACTCCATGGACCCCCATGTAGAGGGTGCACCAGCTTGGCACACACTTATGTTTAAGAGCACTGAATGGGAAGTGGTGCATCTAGACGGTCCACACACAAGCGCAGACCGGCCTTGTCTCAAAGACCCGGTGGGGAGAATGCCCTGGCCAGGGAATGAAGGCGTCGCTTTATGCGGGTGGGAGGCACGACGCAGAGACGGGCTTGTCTGGGGCCACATGTTTGTGGTCAGAACCAGAGACGGGATGCCAGCCCCAAACAGCCCGCTGGAGGCTTCCCACCCCACTGCACACCGCCCCTGGCCTGAGTGTGCATGGCCGAGGGCTTCCCGTGAGGCCCGGGGTGTGTCTGGCTGCCCCAGGCCCTCCGGGCTGAGCCGACACACGAAGCGTCTGCGAGGGCTGAGCTAGAACGGTGGTCCAGGGGGAGGGTCACGGGGGAAGGTAGGCAGCCCCTCGCTTCTTTCAGCCTCTGTTCCCCGTCCCCCACCGTCACCCTCACTTCCTCCGTCAAGGGGCTCACGCTGCCCTCTCGCCTCGCGGGGCTGTTGTGGGGATGAAACGGACCATGACAAGCCTTTGATGGGAGTCACCCGTGATGACGGACTCACGGGCGGCCTGGCCCTCCTCGGCCGGGGTCAGGACGTCTCCGGGCCTGCCCTCCCCCCGGGCTCCACGCTTCACTCACCTGGGCCCTCCTGGACGTAGTCGACCATGGGCCCCGTCACTGTGCCGATGTCCACGTCGGACATCTTGGAGCTCAGGGCGATCTCCCAGAAGTCGGCGGGGCGGCTGCAGTTGCTGCTGCGGTCGCCGGTGTACTCCTGTGCAGGTGGGACCGCCGTTACAGACCCCCACCCCGCCGCAGACGGCGACAACGGTGGCAGGGCTGGGGCTGAGCCAGGGGCCCCACGGTGGGCCCCATGCTCCCGCCCAGGGCGGGACCGCCGCCGACAGGCAGCTGGGTCGCACCTTCTCGTAGAAGAGCCGCTCCAGCCGCCCGTCCTCCTTCTTCGGGGACAGCCAGCGCCCACACAGGAACAGGAACTCGTCCTCGTTGGTGTCATTCCAGATCTCCACCTTCTCCACGTACCAGTCCGCGCACCACTTGCTGTTGTCATGCCGCAGCTTGATCTTGTAGATGACGCCCAGGTCGGCCGCCTCGATGATGAAGGTGTCGGCCTGCGGGGCCAGGTGGGGCCTCGGCGGGCGCACCCG